CTTGGGTTGCTCAATTAAAAATACCTTGAGGGTAAAGAGGTTTTCTGAGGATGGATTCGGAGGGTTGCATAAAATGAGCATAGTTCGGGGTGAGTGGGCGAATGTTTATGAGGATTGTGAGTATTTGGAATATGGGGGGTTCTTTTGGAAAAATTTTAGACACAAATGCATGCGTTGCGGTCTTGGCATAATGGTTGGGTTAGATTGGAGTTATTATATATGATTCTAATGTGTTAAAATGCAGTTTTGCTTGAGGGCAAGCAAAAGACAAGTGTGGGGTATTTTGATATGTGCATATTTAGTGTGCATTAAGTGTAGTTTATTTATTCATATATTAGCTAAATTGTTGCATATTATGGACAAAAGTCACTTAAAAGTGTTAAATTATGTTTTTCAGTCCAAAGATGAAGCTCGGAAGCGAAAGGAAGCAAGAGAAGCGGTTAGGAGCTCAAGAGTGGAATGAAGAAAGAAAACACCCATAAAAAGGCTTCTACTCGTCGAGTCGAGCCTTGACTCGACGAGTACGGTCGCAGAATTAGAAGGATAATGATTCGGAAGTCCAGATAGTTATCGGATTACGAAGAATGTGAGAGGGACTCGACGAGTCACCATATGACTCGACGAGTCGGAACGCATATATAAAGATAACTCCACAAATCGAGAAGGGAGAATTCTGGGAAGTTTCAGAAGTGCTTAGCTGCGAATAAGAACCCAGAAGAACCCTAGAAGTCGACCAAGAAAGCTAGAATCCAATTCCGGGAGTAATTAAGGCATAATTTCACCATTCTACTTAATTCTTTTGTTTTGTCAACATGATTAAGCAACTTGAACTTATTTGTTTGCTGTTATTATCATTTAATTCATTATGAAGTCAAAAGTGAAGGTCTTAAAAACTTCATAGAATTCATGATCGGCCATTCCATTTGTGCTTTCAGCAAGTAGGCGACGCGAATCTATTTCTATGCTTCAACGACTTTCTCTGGTTTCCGCAACCGTATTAATCGATCGAAACTTTAATACAACCTTTTCTGATCCCGCTGGAGGGGGAGACCCCATATTATACCAGCATCTCTTTCGGTTCTTCGGTAATCCCTTGAGAGAAGGTTCACTAATAGACCTGGGGACAAGTAATTCGACTCATTCACATCCAGATCATGAATGTTTGGAATCCATATTATGCAAGGAGACATTGCTTTTGCTAATTCGAATTGAAGGGTGATATAAAGTAGGTCTTCATCTTCAGGCATCATAGCCATAGTTAGCGCATTCATTCTAGTTAGCAGTTCCAGCTCCATATCAAGGATATCGTCACTAGCATCAATATCATCACTAGCATTGGTTTTGCTGCGAGGGCTTTATTCGCTAGTGGGGTCGAAATCTATATGATGAGTCCGTCGGGTGGGGGAATAATCCCTTCCAATTCTGGTTCCTCCTGGACGGAGGATTCGTTCGAGATGAAAGTGTTGACAGAGCCCTCTCCCGAACCGGAAATGGAAGGCACATCGGCTCGTTCTTCGATCCCAAGGGTGGATGAAGCGGGGCCGCCCCCCCTTACCCGCAATTGTAGCTTGGAATCGTCGATGCGAAATCGCATTCCGGATTTAACTGGAGCTCGAGACCTTCTTTTCCCATCAAAAGGTATAGATGAGGAATCTATCGAGTGAAGAAGTTTAAGAAGGTTCGGGAGCTACCCCAGTAGTAATAGGAGTTGTCGCAGAAAGTCTTTCTCTTTCTTCTTTATCTCAAGTCAGTCTGTAGAGGGATGGTACAGAGATAGGTCACCGGGTTATTCAAATAAGTCGTGTTTTCCGTGGTTTTCCCATGTTACAACTTCCGTACCAATTCGGTCGATCCGGAATGGATCGGTTAAACATTCCATTAGGGAGCCTGGTCTTGACTTTTCTGTGTGGTATTCATTCTCGTTCGGCTCTTGGAATCACATCCAGCAGTGGTGGGAATAGCTCACAAAATCCAACCACTTCACCTACTTCATTGCTGGAAAGGCTCGGCTTCAAAACCGTACGTGGAGCTTCCGCCTCATACGGCTCCTATAGAGAATAGAAAGCGTACTGACTCTGACTGCTATCTACGATGCGATCAGGGGGGAATAGCGCAAGGGCTTAAGTCATCGATTCAAATCCTATCTTCTTTTCGGTATGCCGCTCCGCGAGCAAGGAGCGAATGACAAAGATATATAATAAAATCATGGCTTCCTTTTTGGTTTCATTTTAAGTCCTTCTTATTTTTACTATTTTAGCAACTTTGCTAGAAGTAAAGCTTCTCAAGTGGTGTTTTCAATTCTTTTATTATTTAGTGTTCGATTTAGACTTAAACATCCACGATGATCTCCTGTTATTACTTGTCTTGGTTTTGGTTTTCGTCTCACGGATCTTGGTTCGCGCTTTATGGCATTTCCACTATAATAAGTGTAGGAATTCATGGGTACCTGGGATCACTTGGACCATTTCCACTCTGTGTTGTCTTCTTGACCTTTGCTCTGAGTGGTTGGTCGAACACGCAGAATGTGCAGGAGAGGGGGGTTCCTCAAATGCCCAACTCGATTTGGACTTAACTCTGCGTCCGCCGGGACCAACAGCAGAGGAAATAGAAAAGGAGCTTTCCTCTTTTCTTTCTTCCTTTGGAAATAGGGGAGTGACCTCAAGTGTACTCCAAAATACTAAGATTAAGCTACAATTGGATGTCGCGTCCCCCGCGAAGCTTTTGAAGTTCCCGAATGTTCGGTCTTTCATTTCAATAAGTAGTCAGCTGCGGGCTAAGAGGCCTCGTAGTCAGACTTCACATTGATTGAAGCAGCTGTTGGAGAGAAGGCATCAGTCAGACCTGCAATTACCGGGTAGTATGCAGCGGCAGTTTTCAATCATACAATGTGTACTCGTAGTCTGACTTTTAGCGGTAGTCAGCTGTCAAGATCCGTTCGGATCACACCAGGATGAAGGTCCCCGTAATTCGAGTGAGATTGTCATGGCGCAAAAGCAGATATGGTCCGGTATTCCCTTGTTCCCTGTATTGGTTATGTTCTTGGTGGAGACGGGCGAACCCGCTGAGACTGTGGTAAGGTTACCTGAGGTGGTGGAGCAAAAGAGACCTGCATAACCGAATGAAGGAAGCGAAGATCAGAGTCAAAATATGCCGTGGAGAAGAGCTTTCGTAGTGGTGATGCTGGCGTCAGTTGACCCGGTTGATAAATAAATAAAGATTTTTTTCATTTATTTATATGCAAGATCGAAGACGCGATTCGCGCGGGTCTGCTTTTTTTTTAAGAAAGCAAGGAGGTTATTTGTTCGCTGGGCGATTCAGCGAGCCAAATTGCACTAATGCGATTCATTCGCCTACTATCCTATAGAGCAATTCAACCTCTTAGTAAGACTAGGGCTAGGAAAACTCATTCTATCTGGGGCCAGGTAGGTGAAGCGTCTAGCTTGGACAAGGAGGGAATAAAGGCAAGCTTTGAAGAGTGGATTTCATTAAAAACAAGGCCTTACCAGCTTGACCTAAGAGGGCGGGCACCTTTCCAACCCGAAAGCTTTTTGCTGAATTTCTCTGTAACTGAATTCCAAAGTTCATCTCTTCATCTTCCCAGCATACCAAAATGAACCGAAATGGAATTGGCTATTGAACAGCCAAACATATTCCGGCCCTATCTCTTAAATTCAAGGGGGAATAACTACGTTTTTGTCGTAGTCGACCTTTCGGATTCAGTAAGATGGCCATTTTGTACCAGGTCGACGCGCTGGCCGAATTCTGCTTCAAAAATGTACAGGTCTAATGCTGTCTTTATCAAAAAGATGCTGCAATCTTCAATCATCGTTCATCGAGCGCTTTCTCTCATCTGCCTTCTATGTATGTTCTTTGCTTTTTTAAGCCTCTCGAAGACTAATTGGGGGGACTTCTATGTGATTGACCCTTGTCTTGGATTTGACTACTATGTCATCCACATAGTCTATGCATCATCTCATGGAAGATGGCCGTCATAGCCCTCTGGTAGGTTGCTCCGGCATTCTTTAGGCCGAGCCGAATGGCATGACCTTTGCACAGAAGGTTTCCCGCCCCGTGATGAAGGAAGTCTTCTTTTGGTCTTTCTCGGCCAACCGTCTTTGGTTGTATCCTGATAAACCTACACACGAAATTCCACTCTCCTCTGTCTCACTCAAGTGAATTGGTTTCGAGAGCATTCCGCCACTTTTTGGCGGACGACTGGGGGAGAGATCTGACATATCGGTATGAAGCTAGGCTGAGCATTGAGTGTATTAGCGGCTAAGTCGAATGAGACAGAAAGCTCCAGGGTCCACTTTAACGGAAGTGGAAATGTCTGCTTAGACCCTTCCTCGTAAGCAAGCAGCAAGCAAGGCAAAACCTTGAATTCTTCCGCGAGTGAGCAAGCCCGTTCAGGAAATCCAAATAAGGAAAGGCAAGAAAAAAGTACAGAGGTCTTGCGAGGCGGTCATTGGGATCGAATCTTCCTGGCAGCGGGCGAGGCCTAGTTGTTGATGAGTGAGCCCCATCCGATGAATGTGTGGACTTGGACGCTGGGTTCAGAGGCGAGAGCGATAAAGAAGGCATTCCATGTCCCCTTCCTTGTTCAAGTTCCGATTACTTGACTTCTAATCAATCTAGTCCAGACTGCCCCGAAAACTGCTATCAACAGCAATGGCATTCTTAATTAGTCTTAGTTTCCACAAAAAAACACCCATTTTCAAGGGCAACCATTTGTTCCGAAGATTTTGATAAAGAGATCTCTAGCCAGGTATCATGGCGAATTCTTCAGAAAAAATTCTGTCTTCCACAAAGGAATCTGATAAGTGAGTCCTTCCTTTCTTCTTTTTCGTTTCGGATTGAAAGAGGAAGAGTTGAGTAAATGAAAAATCCAAAGGAGGTTCATGGCCAAGGGTAAAGATGTGCGAATACCAGTTCTTTTGGAATGTACCCATGCGTTTCCGCTAAGAAGAAGAAGGTTTGGATCTTGAAACCTTAAGAGGATGCTATCGAATGTGCTCTTGGCGCACGTGAGGGATGTGACCTATGTTAGGTCCATAAGATAGCACAGCTTTTAGTGTTCTATGATTCACCTCCGAATAATGAGTAGATAGGGAAGAGCTTTTTCTTTTTCTCTTCATAGAAGACTGATGGGTGGAGCAAGAGGTCAAATTACTATAGAAAGAAGAGTTGTAAACTATAGGACTTCTTTTTCTAGTAGTAAGATTTAGGGTTTTTTCGTTCCTTCTCTTCGATAAGAATATCGATTTGAAATGATAAAAATGCCTCTTTATTCTCTTGTGCTCAGCGAAAGAACTGCCTAAGCATACTTTTTCGGATCCAAACTTCTTTGTTCTTTCTAAGTCTTCGTCTTGCATAGAAGAACGCAACTGTTGCAAAAACGGGTCTTTCAGTAGTAGGCGGCATCCCCTCTTAGTTTTAAGTAAGCGGAACCATTCCGTTTTGGTTCTTCTCCACATTCTTACCGGGCTATCCAGGAATTTTCCTATGATTTTAGATACTTCTAATAGAATCTTCTAAGGTCATCTCCTCTTCAGCTTCTGAAGTTACCACGGTCTGTCATCAAACCTCATAGGCTAAAGAGAAAGCTAAACAGGGGTTATGCGCAAGCCCACTTGTATATCGTATTTGGCCGAAGAAGCATCGGACAGGTTGGAGTTCTTACCTTCTTGGGATTCCATGGACCAAGATCTGCTTTTATTATATGGGCAATACCGATCTACTTTAGTAGATCATATGGATGTAGAAAAATCTTCTCATTTTGATGAATTGGAAACATCTCTTTTCCATTTCTATTTACCCAGTTCATATCTTTGTTTCGTGTGTTCCCCGGAGGAATTCGATCTCTTCAATCTCGGGATACCACCTAATAATTGCTGTACCTCACAAGTCACATTAATTGGTTGACCAGCAGTATCTCGACCCTTAACTACCAGAGCGTTATAAATATTAGGCATTTTGCCTGGCGGAAAGGCTACATCTAGTACCGGACCAATGATTTGGGTGTATTTGAACTGGAATGCCAGGCGGAGGAGTGTAACTGCCTTATCGCGCTATCCGACTTGTATCGAAACATTCAGCTGTCGACGGACACACTTTGCCGGAACGTCGACCGCAAACGAACCGCATCTTCACAGACATGTCTATTTCACCGAGTCTCTCTCCGAGACAGTGCCCAGATCGTTACGCCTTTCGTGCGGGTCGGAACTTGAAGTATGTTCCGCTTCTGCTTTCCCGGTTAGTTCGAAGTTAAACTTTTTGAATCGAAACGAACAGATGCCGGGCTAGATATATATCTAGCGGCGAAGGCGCTGTTTCGCCCGACAAGTTTCAAACTTGAAAGCAGTCAATCAAGCAGCACTGACCGCTATTCCATAGAGAGCATAGAGCTCTTACACAGCGCCTAATAGGCTAGCTGAACTATAAAGGCTGGATTTCCCCGATGGAGAGGCAACCAACAGGCTGTGCTCAGTCTTTTCAGAATCGGATTGGACTGGAGAATGCCATTAATTGCTATATGAAGTGGAATAGCCAGATGCGAACTGGTGTTACCAGCACAGGATGCAAATAGGTTGCCCAGACGAGGTCTTTCATCCACTAGTACGAGGAAGGTTAAGGAGCTAGGTGCTTTAAGGCTAGCGGAAGGATGTTCTTCCCAAGAGTGGTACTCAGAAGAAGAAAAGGTTGTTGTTCCCGCAGCACTCATTGATACTGAAAAGTGGTCGTGAAAGGAGACTGCTTTTGCTTTGAATGCTTACCCAAGCTCTTGGACAGACTCGGCTGTGAACAAATCCTCTCTTAGAGAATCGACCGTTCACTCATGCTTTGGACGAGAGAAAGTCTGATTAGTCTTCTGCTTGAACGGTGATATCTATAATAAAGAATACCTGTCTCAAGGTAAACAGGAGTTCCCGGCTCAAGCTAAATGATACCGGGGGGTCATCCACCAAGTATCAAGCTGGGGAACCGGGTAAACAAAGTCGCGATCAGAATGAATGGTAGTTCGCTGGGCCTGTCTTTTGCTCCCAGAGGTGCTGGTTCGAATCCAGTTCGTGACAACCACAAAGCCTTTGATCATAGAATATCTCGGGACCCCCGCTGGTAAACTTCCACATCTGAGATTCCATGTGTGACTAACTCAATTGAGAAATGCCCCTCTTGTACGCTAACGTTCTAGGATGGCAGGGTTGGTAAAACTCTCCTTGATAAATAGAGTATGGAGAGCTCGGGTGGGGCATCAACCACTGGTTGCGGGCCTGTCGAGATGCTTCCTTGCAGAACCCGGCTGTTCAGAACTGGCAAGCACCCGGAAGCACTAGACCAATAAGCTAGATCTCCCTACGGGGCATTGCACGTTTAGCCAGACCGCTCCGCTCGTGCTTCTCCTTGTGTCTTGCACTAGAACAGGGAAATCGCTACTAAAGCACTTTCTCTCATGAATTGAAAGAGTTCTATCTGGGTCAAAATGCTACGGCTTGCTTATACTCTTGCAAGCAAGGCGAGAAGCGATTCTCTTAGCCGGCATACCCGACGAATCAAAAAAGCTATAATAAGGCAATCCATGGGCATGGAACCCCGAAATAGCCAATCTACAATCATTTAATCAGGTCGAAAAATTCTTGCCGGTGGGTAGAACCAAGACTCATTTTAGCCAGGAGCTTACTTTCACTACTTATTTAGCTACTTTAGGTCGTTGTAGTCCATAAAGAAGAATCAAACTTTATCAGAGCTTGCATTCGATGCCGTTGATTCAATTTCTTCACGCAAGAAATTCTAAAAAGAAGCTTCCTTCGCAGGAAAGATATTCTAGTAAATAGAAAACTCGCCATTCATTCATGAACTGTCTTGCCCGTGCCATCAAGAGCTAAAGTCTCCATCAAAAACAGCTCGGCACCTCCAAACCCAAATATTCCATGCTATCGCACATAAGGTCGTACGCCACTGGCAATCAAAACCAAACTTAAGATCTTTACAAGAAGCATTGCTGCATAACCAATCCGTGAATGCCAAGGAGTAGAAGGCACTTTGATGCTCAGTGGGAATAAAGATGTTCCAGATCAATTTAGCAAAGTGGACCGGTTCATGAAAAGCAAAGGGGGAACATTCCCCACTTTTCCGACTGTTGCTGAGCAGTTTTTGGATATCAAACGGACCTCCCCAGAAGGTAATTTTAATGTGGCCGATTTCCCTTCTTTTGCAATCAGTTTCGCTACAGCACCCGCTGCTCTAGCTAATTGTCCACCCTTTTCTCGCTTGGTTAGTAAAGTCAAGTTTTTGGCCGTATCTTGCAGGTGACGACGACGTCGAGTTGACGGCAGAGAAAGACTGGGCATTCAGGCGAGCCGCCCGGTGGTGTGGTACGTAGTGGGTTTAGTACGCCCCGCCAAAACGGCTCCGAAACAAACAAAAAGGTGCGTGCCGCACTCACGAAGGACTGCCAGTGATATACTGGAGGAAGGTGGGGATGACGTCAAGTCCGCATGGCCTTTATGGGCTGGGCCACACACGTGCTACAATGGCAATTACAATGGGAAGCAAGGCTGTGACTGAAAAAAATGCATCTTTACTAAATTCATACCAATCTATCGAATTATTTGAATTTTGATGTAAAAGATTTATAGACGGGTTTAACCATTTGGTAAGCAGGTTTAGGACCAAGGGCAGGGTCTAAGGCAGTATCGATCGAAGGTGCCCCTAGGGATATGGCTATTTCTTCTCGTTCAGCTTCTCCAATATCCGTTGTTTTAGGGTCACAATGGAAACAATGTATCTCTCTGGGGATGCGAAGAATATTTGAAAGCACTTTCGAACCATCACACGGATTCCAACCCAACTGCCCATGATATGGTAAGAACGGAATGGAAGGGAAAAAAATTATATGCGCAGACGTGAAAGCTCTATCAATAGAACGGAAGCAAATTCGCGTGTAGGCAGCGCTGTCTATCGTACCGTTGACTCTATCTATTCATTGAATTTGCTTGTCCAAAGATGAAATTCTTAATGATAGTTGGTTGTATTCACCTATTTTTGGAATAATAGCTTGGTCTACGGTGGGATTAACCGCATTTTATATGTGTCGGATCTATTTACTTACTTTTGAAGGACATTTAAACGTTCATTTTCAAAATTATAGTGGAAAAAGGAATACCCCCTTCTATTCAATATCTTACCTTAGTTATGAACTAAATTCTTTAGACTTCTGTTTGGGAATACAAAGTTGACAATATGGTTTGATTGATTGGTAGGATTAATTCCAAGTTGGTGATTAATTGTTATTTTAGCTTGCTAAAGAACCTTGTGTATGAATGATAGTTAATTTTCTGTTAATAGGAAGATAATTGATTAGCATGAACATCTATTGATTATCAACCTCATATGATATGTGACCACTATACCATATGTCTAGAATTAATGAACATGAAACTAGGATTAATAAGGAAATTGAGTAAACTCATGTGCAAGCTTGTAAGATGACCATCAAACAAGAGGTTAATTAAGAATAATGAATTAATTAGCTATTGCAAGTCTAACTTAACCCGAATAATTAATCTAGTAAATATAATTAAATTAAGCAATTGGCCACTGTTTGAATTAGTTTATTTGCTAAGGATTAGGGTAGTGAACATAAACCTAATCACTTGAATCGGTAACCAACGAAAGAATTAATCCATTGCACTATTACCTTAAAATCAACCATAAAGTTAACCGAGTTGAACTAAACAGAAGTTCCTTTCCCATTATTGAATCTAGTTAATTTGTCCTTTTCTAGTCTTGAATTAGTTTTAGTTAGTAAGTTTCTAGTCTTGTAAAACTAGAGAAAAAACCCCTATTTGCTTAATCAACTTAGATAGAATTAGTTTTTAATTTAATTTGTCGTTCCCTATGTTCGATACCCTGCTTATTTAGGTATACCACAATTGATAGGTTCACTGCCTTTTGTGTGTTATTTGATAATTAAAGTAGGATTAAAACTAAGTGAGTTTTACACACATCAGTTATTGACAAATCCAAACTCTTATGGATTGAACTTGTGCAGTCTTAACTTCTTGCCACCTGGCAGCACTAGGGCCTGCCATTGCTTCCAAGCTGTTATGCAACCAATTGAGAACTCTCAGAACTTATATGCAAAGCCAACTTTAACTAGAATGGGCACAAAATAGGAATATGTCAACACGATAGGATATAAACCTCATGTCGTGTGCTGGTAATAAACTATAGGTTTTTCCTTCTTGATTAGATCTAGAAGTATTTCCAAGATCTTTAAGACTCCGGCTGCCCTCTTGACATATAAGACTCACCTGCCAAATTTTCAAGAGATAGTGTAGATTCTTTATCAAGACAAACACTTCACACAATTGGCCTTAAGTTGGTCTCTGTTTTATCCAAAACATCACAACTTACCAATTTCAAATGTACAAGAGTGGGATACACTTTACTCTTACATTTGACTAGTGTTATAAACCTTTCTTTAAGATATGTTGCTTAAGTGACAATCTTGGAGTATGACTCTAAGAATTGTTTTTTGGAACGAAGTATGACTCATCTTCTTGATATAACCATTTCAGCAATTCTTGATTCCTCTTCTTAGCCATATGAATGCACTAACTTGATTCTTCTCATCCGTCCTGCCATACACTGAAAATTTTCAATGTTTTAGAATTATACTTAAACTTGTAAGTATAACCATATTTACTAAACCTTAGTAAATCATGACAAATAGTCTTATCAACCTTTTGTGTTGGACCTTGATTAGTGCACAAGAATGTGTACCCGATCCCTTAGTCCTTCACTTGACTCATAGATAAATGTGAACAAGGAATTGGTCTTAATTTTCCAAAGCTGAAATTTCTCATTCATCATATTGTATAACTTGTATGATTCCAAGTTTCTATCCAACTGAAAACTTGGGTGATGAGAAGCTTTCCTTATTTGGTAAATTTAGACACTACCACAAATGAAAGAATCAAATTCACATTTCCATTATTGCTAGAAACATATAAAGATCAATTTTCAATAAAATTCATTGCAAGGAGATATAAACTAAAATAAAATCAATAATTTATTTATTTATAATAAAAATGCGGAAAAACTTTTCCTTACAATGCAACTTTAAATGAAAACTATGATGTTACATATTTCCTAGCAATCTATCATAACCAATAAGTAGTAGCTCAAAATTTTGATTTTCAACCATGCGATATAAATCTATCTTGACGATCAGATTCAACATACTTTTTCTTTAAGTTTCCTTTCCTTTGCTTGATCCTGCCAAACATCAAAATGTAACT